GGCACCGCCGGCGGCCCCTCCCCCGCTGGGGAAGGGGTGGGCGCCTGGGCGGGGCTTAGGTTGAGCAGAGGATGTGACTGCGAGGCCGGGAAGCTACAGGAAAGCTCTGATGAAAAGACACACAAACAGAAGCCAGGTCCTCACCGGAGGCCTTGCTGGGGACGCGCCCTGGGACCTGGCCGAGGGGAGACTTTGCTCCCAAAGTGCATCCATGGCGGACGCCACCTCCCCCCAGGAGGACAGAGCGGGAACCAGGTGACCCTGTGCCCTCCTGCTGCTCCCCGTCAGGGCGCATCCTGAGAGTGGCCTGGCGGGGCAGCCTGTGTGCACGTGGGTGAGGGTGAGGGGCAGTGGGAGGCTGGAAGCGTGGCCTCACACCCAGGGCGGGGGGTGCGTATGGCCCTGGGCTCTGCGAGACGTGTCGCAGGCGTGTGCAGTGTGTGCCCAGGAGGCTGTGAGCTGTGGGCAGCCAGGACCGCGTGTGGTGGTCATGGGAGGGGTGTGTGGCTGGAAGCGTGCCTGGGAGGTGCAGGTGTGCACCAGGCTGAGGGTGGAGCCGGTGCAGGTGTCTGTGGGGTGCGGGGGAAAGGGGGTGCAGAGAAGCAGGGGGTACGGGGAGAGCGTGTAGGGAATGGTGTGCAGAAGAGGATGTGCAGAGAAGGGGGTGCAGGGGAGGGGTGTGCAGGGAACAGGGTGCAGGGGAGAGGGGACACAGGGCAGAGAGGGTGCAGGGGAGGGCACCTGCTGTCTCCTTTGCTCCTATCCTGGCTTTGACTTCCAGATGGGTCTGAAGCTGCTTTTGCAGGGCTGTGGTCTGAGCTTGGCAGGGTGGAGGGGCCACTGCAGGTGGGACCCTGGACACCCTGGGCTGGGTGCTCTGGGGCGAGGGTCTTCCACAGCAGGCTCTCCTGCTCCCAGCCCCTTCCTGAGACTGCCTCCAGCTCAGAGGGTCTTGGGAAGGACCCCCGTCAGCCCCACGAGATTGGGCCCCCTGCCCCACTGGTTCCTGGGGCTTCTGGCTGTGTGTCACCCCAGGCGGAAGGAACAGGGGCGCCTACAAGGACTGTCCCTGCCACAGCTGCTGGGGCCTTGGCGGGAGGTCATCCTGAGGGGCTGGGCCTTGGCCCCAGACCCGCTTCCGGGGTGTCCCCCCCAGCAGGGAGGGGAGCAGTATCTGTCAGGTAGACAGGCTAAGTCTGGGGTGTCTAGAGAGGAGGGGACCCCAGGGCTTGGAGCTGTCGGGGAAGGGGCTCTGGCGCCGTCTTCTTGCAGCTGCGCCACTGCAGAGCTGGGTGGCTGGGAAGGGCCTCAGACCCTGCCTGGCAAGAGTTGCCTGTTCACACCCCACCCCCGGGGCCTGGCTGTGTCACGGGCACTGTAGCAGCCACCTTCAGCGGCAGCCCTGTTGCAGGGGACAGCGGGGAATGAGGCCAACCGCTGTTCGGGAGACGGGGTCCTGCCTGGTGCATGTCCACCCTACTTGGGTTGTCACAGTGGTCCAGGGTGAGTGAAGGTGGCCCTGGACTCAAGGTCCCCTCCCTGCGCCCCTGGGCCATGCGAGGTGGTGCGCATTCCATGTGTGCAAGGGAGTGGTGTCCAGGAGCTCTGGCGGCCAGGGTGGCACTGGGTGCAGGGCAGATTCTTTTCGTTTTTTTTTGAGTTGGAGTCTCACTCCATCATCCAGACTGGAGTGCAGTGGCATGCTGCTCCCAGCCACCGCAGCCTCGACCTGCGGGGCTCCGGCGATCCCTCCGCCTCAGCCTTCCAAGCAGCGGAACTACAGGCACATGCTACCACACCCGGCTAATTTTTTGATTTATTGTAGAGATGAGGTGTCACCAAGTTGCCTAGGCAGGTCTCGAACCCACGGGCTCAGGCAATCCACTCACCTCAGCCTTCGAAAGCATGGGATTACAGGTTGAGTCACTGAGCCCGGCTCAGGGCAGTTTAATATGCAGCTGACTGTTACTGGTTAACTCATCCTGTCCTGTTTACCTTGTTCCCTGTGGATGGCAGCAGCCTCTGACCTGTCCAGGTGCCCTGTCCAGCTGACTGTGAGGACAGAGTCCGGCCCAGCCCTTGTGGACAGTCCGCTTGGCCGAGGGGCCCCGTGGAGCTGGGGGTGGCACGGTGCCTCAGCCTGCCCTGAGGAGGCCTGGCTTAGAGCTATGACAGGTAGGCAGGCCAGCGAGGGACTGGCATGCACTCTGCTCCCACTCCTGCCCCCCAGCTGACTCCTGCCCCCCAGCTGGCTCCACATCACGCCTGGCTCCTGCCAGGCTCTCCGCTTGGCTGCATGCCGGGGGCACAAAGGCCACTGCTCACCCTCCCTCGTGGTCCTCAGCCCTGAACCCAGGGCGGCAGCAAGGATGGGCCTGAGCCCTCTCCTGCCCAAGGCTTCCAGACCAGGCTCGTGGGGGTCAGGGAAGCCCAGGAATACCAAGAGTGGGCTTTGGCAGGGGTCCTAGGTCGGGTGGGCAGATGTGGGCTGGCAGGAGACCACAGACTTCTGAGATGGTGGTTCACTTCTCTGACCTCCACTAGGACTCATAACCCTGATGCAAAGATGAGACCCTTGAGGCCAGCAGGAAGGGGACGGCCTGCTTGTGGCCAGGAGCAGTAGCCCACACCCTGGGCTCCCTGCTCAGCCCATGGGATGGACAGTGCTGGCACACTCAGCACCTGAGTCCCCAAGTCCCCCAGTGCTCACAACCCCTGCCACTCCCCCAGCAGAGGGGACTGGGCTGAATGCAGTGCCTGGCCCCTCCTCTGGGGTGGACATCACAGCATCACTGGGGCTGGGCAGCAGGTGTACCTGGGAAACGGGTGGGGCTCGTGTCCTGGGTGGATGGATGCGAGGCCAGATGGGTCAACGTGGTGGGGCTGGGTCAGTGCAGTGGCGACTGACCACTGCCCTGCATGCCAGGGTCCCCTCCGAGCACAGGATGGCAGGACACACAATGTCTGGCCACAGCTGGGGAAGACGTGCCAGGCGCGGGGCCTGTCCCCTTGGGACCCGTGGGCAGTGATTGCCAAGCCACACATGAGACTCGCTGCCTTGTTTTCTCCTGCACTACAGACCCCCGGGGTGGGGGGGCAGTATCCTGGCACAGCTGACCCGCCGTGTCCTCTGCCTTCAGGTGTCTGTGACAGGGCCCCTGACTTCCTCTCCCCATCTGGAGAGCAGGTGCTGGGGCCCGTCCTGGGCAGTGCAGTGGCTCTGAACTGCACGGCTTGGGTTGCCTCTGGGCCCCAATGCCCCCTGCCTTCAGTCCAGTGGCTGAAAGACGGGCTTCCACTGGGCAACGGAAGCCGCTACAGCCTCCAGGACTCCTGGTAAGAGATGAGTGCCCAGGGTCAGAGTGACCACCTGGACATGTCCATGGCCAGCGGCCTCTCTGACCTCCACCCTTATCTGTAAGCACCTGGACCCGAGCTGGGTAGTGGTTGGCCGGACATGACATGGGCAGGGTGTGGCTGTGGACACAGAGGCCCTGGGGTCTGCGTGGCCCGTAGACACTGCCTTGTAGACCGCCCAGAGCTATGGGTGTCTGGAGAGGCCTATGGCCTGAATGAACACTGGCCGTCAGGCCATGCCTGGGATCCGAGGACTCCAGGCCCCAGGCCCAGGGCGACTGTCCTCAAACAGATTCACACCCCTCCAGGTTTCTCTTCTCTTGGTTCATGGCCCAGCAGCCACCCAGAAGCCCAACATGGGGCTTCCCTGGGTGAGTCCGGACAGGGCGGGCCCTGGGGTGTCCACCGACGCCCAGGTGCGAGGTGGGGCTTGGTATCCCCAGGGTCAAGGCCAACTTGTCCGAAGTGCTTGTGTCCAGTGTCCTGGGGGTCGACTTGACCGGTGCTGGGGACTACGGGGCCTTCACCTGCTGCATCCGGAATGTCAGCTCCTCCTCCTTCACTCTGCGGAGAGCTGGTGACAGGGGTGCCCGGGGCGGACGGGCAGGGGATGCCCCAGGACCCCGAG